GTTCAGTAGTAAAGAATGTTACTATAAATGTATTTTGCTCATGGGCAGAAGTAAGTATTTTTTTTGTTAAACTTTCTCCACTGTCTGAACTATTCTTGTTACATAAATTTTAGATAAGAGAAGAAGATGGATCCCTACAAACTTTAGTTTCAAATAAAGCATATTTAGTTATTGAGGACTGCCAGAAATATTCTCAAGCTATTGAACTTGTAGGCATGTTAAGTGCAATAGCAAAAAAACCTTTCACATTAACAGAATTAATTCATATGGCAGATGTTGATATGATGATAAGAAAGATCAAAATGAATGACAAAGATCAAAAAACTTGGTTCAAAGCACTGCTTGGAATGAAAAAATTTGATAATGATAAAGTGATCAAGTGCCTTAGTTGTTATTATTATTTATGCAATGAAGATGATGTGAATCTCTTACTAAACTGTTATGTAAAAAGTGGTGATTCAAAACTGAGGGTTTTAGTTGAGAAAAGTGCTGCAAGTTTAACACTTGCTGAATTAATTCAAGTTGCTACTAGACACTTTTACAGAAATAAGTTCAATAATCTCAGCAATGATACTAAATTTTCATCAGCACTTGATAAAATCAAACAAGATGATGATTTAGAGAAGGAACTGCCGAAAAATATTATTCTTTTTCTGTTGAATTCCCCAGAAATGGCTATGAAATACATTTATACACAATGTTTGAAGAGTTCTTTCTATACAGAATGCTTGAGGTTAACATTTTCTTCAATAAAAGAAATTGCTAAGATTGATAACATTGGGGTGACCACTCTGGCTTGTGTATTAGAAGAAAATCCACTGAGTTTTCAAAATAGTGACAATTTTGTAGCATTATTCAGGACCCTTATTGAAACTGATTACTTTTCTGGAAGTATTTTAGCATTGGAAATTATTCATCCTTTGATAAAGAGATTTCATGAAGCAAAATCCACAGAAGAATTGATTTGTATTTTAGAAATTTTCAAGGTAAGTTTGTTGTCCATGCCCAAACTGTTTGAATTTTTTAAAAGCTTTTATTTAACTCACATTGTATGTTTGTATGTATGTATGTATGTATGTATGTATGTATGTTTGGGAGGAATCTTTGAACTCAATTTTGAAGTAGAAATCTTCAACCGATTGAGCTGAAATTTTGTATACACGTTCAGTTTGGATGACAATGCACGATAAGGTGTGTCACGTTATTCTAAATCCAATATGGCGGACTATCCAAGATGGCGGAATAGCTATTTTTGATATACTTTTACAATATAATGGGTTTCAAATAAAAAGGCTCGTTGAGAGTAACTCGAAAAATGATGTGACGTCATTCTTAATCGAATATGGCGGGCCATCCAAGACGGCGGAATGATCATTTCTAATCTACTTCTACAATATGGGTATCAAATGAAAGGGCTCGTTGAGAGCAATTCGAAAAATAATGTGACGTTATTCTAAATCCAATATGGCGGACCATCCAAGATGGCGGAATAGCTATTTTGATATACTTTCACAATATGGGTATCAAATGAAAAGGCTCATTGAGAGTAACTCGAAAAATGATGTGACGTCATTCTAAATCGAATATGGCGGACCATCCAAGATGGCGGAATAATCTCATTTTTAATCTACTTCTACAATATGGGTATCAAATGAAAGGGCTCGTTGAGAGTAATTCGAAAAATAATGTTACGTTATTCTAAATCCAATATGGCGGACCATCCAAGATGGCGGAATAGCTATTTTTGATATACTTTTACAATATGGGTATCAAATGAAAAGGCTCATTGAGAGTAACTCGAAAAATGATGAGACGTCATTCTAAATCGAATATGGCGGACCATCAAAGATGGCGGAATGGTCATTTTCAATCTACTCCTACAAAATGGGTATCAAATGAAGGGGCTCGTTGAGAGTAATTCGAAAAATAATGTGACGTTATTCTAAATCCAATATGGTGGACCATCCAAGATGGCGGAATAGCTATTTTTAATATATTTCTACAATATGGGTATCAAATGAAAAGGCTCGTTGAGAGTAACTCGAAGAATGATGTGACGTCATTCAAAATCCATTATGGCGGACCATCCAAGATGGCGGAATGGTCATTTCAATAAACTTTTATAATATATGTGTATCAAATGGAAAGGCTCGTTGAGAGTAAATCGAAAAATCCAGCTAGCGATAGCTAAAAATTAAAAAATGTATTGAAAGTAAAAAAAACTTTTATTCAAACGCTCTAAAAAGAAGAAAATGAAATTTTTCTTTATTATTTCAACTATCAACTTATGACCTCATTATACACAGTTTATATGATCATAAAAGCTTGTCGCGATGATCAATATTTAATTAAATTGTAATTTTAAAAATTTCATCAGCAGATTTTGATCATATAAATTGTGTATAATGAGGTTATAAGTTGATAGTTAAAATTATTAAGAAAAATTTTATTTTCTTCTTTTTAGAGCGTTTAAATAAAAGCTTTTAATTGAAACGTTTTTTTTACTTTCAATTTATTTAACTTCTACTTTCAGCAATGTGACACAGTACTTTATGTCAGCAATGAATTTGGAGACTTCATTAAACTATTACTGAATATCATGAATGAATATAGATGTAGGTTTCTCAAATTTGATGGTTCAAGGCATATGGTAGTCAAATATATTGTTGATGTTTTTTGTGATATGTTCCAATCCAAGATTGGCTCAGAAGGTAATTCAAATTTATCTCCTTCATACCTAATTGAATGTTCATGGTATCCGAAAATGAGAGCAAAAATATCAGCGAGAAAAAAAAAACAATAAAATGAGATAGCAAACATTTTTTCACTGAAAAATGCGGTTGCCGGAAATATGATCGAAAACTCTCACATCTTTTGATCTGAAATCAATTGATCAAAATATCATTAAAAAGAAATACTTATATTTGATGAAATCCGTCAATCCCTGAAATCTCTAGTCATTTCACGTATTTCAGGCAAGCAGCGTCTCCGTTTTCGGCCGTTACACGACTGTTCGCCGGAAGGTTGGGGAAGCAAAATATCCTATCTATATAAGCATAAAAAAAGGGACTACTCTCAAACAATCTAACCTAACTCGGCCTTAATGAACCTTCTTCCTAGAAAGAATATTTTTCGTTAAATCACTTGAGATAATAAGAGACTACAGATTCTAAACAACCTATCCTGATTCCATCCGCGCGTAATTACAGTGGATACCTGAACTATCAGGCAAGCAGTGTACCAAATGTAGTACTGGTATTTTCTCTCACATAAAAATATCCATGTCATATGAATTTTTATTTTCCACATTGGCCATTAACGATACTTTTCAAAAACCGAAACCTTAAATGAGTATGTCTTCTCTCTGTAACAGAATATGACACAAATTCTGACATATTATGCTGAGCACTATAGTTATACTTGAGGTTATACTGTTGATTGATATATTACGCTAATGCTGAATAGTGAGTAAGCTTAATATATCAATCAACGGTTATACTTATACTGCTTTTCACAATAAAATCCTTCATATGGATGAATTCCTGGAATCTATACAAAGGGTTTGAGACAAATCGGTATGTAGTTTGAGTTTTATATGCAATTATATTCATCAAAATGTAGTTGGATCAATTGATATTTCAACCAGTTGATTTTCGATCATTTGATTTTTCGATCAATTAATTTTCGATCAAATAAATAAGTTCAATCTAATGATTTCGAACTAATTTTCGGCAACCGAAAAATGCATGTGTTTGTTTTGCGATCGTTTTCCTGTTATTTTCGAAGTGAGGAATGTATAAATGCCTTCTCTTATTTTTCAGTTGATTTATATATCGAAAATGAAGACTGCTACACTAGTTATTATAGACAATATTTAACTTCTTCCAAAGAATACTCAATATTCAAACATCTTTGCCCACTATTTGACATTAGTGATTATGGAAATTGTGTGCAACAAATGATACAAGTGAGTTCCACTTCATTTTTATTGGGAGAATGTATTTTAAAGAAAAATAATTAGAAACTCTCAAGTCTCAAATCAAAATAACATCGCCTTTGAAATTTCAAATGCTTCCCTGTATTATGTTAAAAATTGATTATAGATGTTGAATATAGGCCTTTTCATTCAGATACAAAAAAAGTCTATGGTTGTTGACATCTAGGAACCACCCACAGTGGCTTGGGTGATTTTTCATCATTGAAAAATAACTTCAGAAAGAATTCATTGAGTTTATATGTGCCTCAGGACTGTTCCTCTTCCAAAAATACCTCAGGGTTATTGTATTCATGTAAAGATCGCCCAGTTCAATGAACATGAAAGTTTTGGCTTGTTTTAGATTTTACCACTCCTTGTAAGACGAGAGTGGCTACTGACTGCCAAAGAGGTTACACAATTTTGCGGCCATAACAAATGTATAGAACTTTTCACAGATGTACTTATTTTGCTATCACAAGTGGTAGAAACTCAAAACGACGAATCTCTTGTTAAGGCATTGAAGCATTGTTTACAAAATTATGGATCAGTTATCCAGGTAAATCGATGTTATTATTTATCCTTATGTGTGTGGTAACGTTATATGTCTGGGTGGTTACTCTGTATGTTATTTCCCATATTTTCTTATTTTCAGCACGAAATTTATCGAAATTCCACGATTGAAATCGAAGCAAACGTGAACAAACAAGTATGTCGCCTTTTGGCCAAACTGCCGGAAGTTTTGAAGGAAGAACAAGGTTTATTATTAATCAACATATTGACTGAAAATTCTTTGAAATATCTTGCGACTGATAAAGAATTTTTGTGCCACCTGATACACATAAAAAACTCCAAGATTTGTCAAGTTCTAGCTCAGAAAATTTCGCAATGATTGATATTTTTCAAATCACTCCTTGTATTTGAAATTTTAATTTGAAATAAAACATCGCAAGCTTAAAATATAATTTTATTTCAGTTATCCAACAAAAACATTCAACTGAAAAATATTCCTTTTTTCTCCATAACCTCAGAAACTTAAGACAGTACGAATGCTGAAATGAAAACAACAATTTAGAAAAAAATATCAATCTGATATTGAAAATAGTATCTACCTTTCTCCTTTGTGCATCAAATGAAAAGCCTCATTTATCTGATCGAATTTAAGTGAATGGGAGACAAATTCATCCAATTTCAGTTTTTTGTTCAGATAATCGTCTACTAGTTTCGGAACACTTTCACGACTTTTCCACCCTAGAACAAAAAATAAATTGATGATATTTCATCAGGTATTCAGGAACGCCTCCTCCCTACTAGGATGGAGACGCCCACTACAATGAACACGCCCACAATGATGAACACGCCCCACCCTTTGAGAGAAGTCTTTAGGACGTATCTCATCGTGTGTACTTTTCCTCAGTACTTTCTACCATGACTTCTGATAATTATTTCGAATTATTCAAATTATGAGGACCTTTGAATTATGTTGTAATTACTCAGTCACTTCCACTGATTTTTAACAAGGCGCTAATGGGTTTCCATCCGTGGTGTGATTAGTTTCCAGAGTTTCCCCAACTCATTTTACATAATAAATCGAAAGCAGACTATACTCTGCAAATTATGGTACGGTAGTGTCAAATATTACCTCGAAAAGAACGAGTGAGAGTTGAATAATTAATGAGTTATTCCCACCATTCGCGATTCTATCCATGTATAGTGTACTTTTTAATGATTTATGAATGAATGAGGTGAGACTACCAACCTCCGAAGGCGGTCCCCTTCCACACCCGCCCAGTCACCAATTGGAACGGCCTGGTGCTGATCTCCTGCCCCGCCCCCGCCACGCCCACTATGGTGGACACGCCCCACCCTTTGTGACACGCCTCCAAGGCGCAGCGCATCGTGTGCACGTTTCCCACGCACTCGAAAGTGAAGTCCAGGCCGCCGTCTGTTAGTTCGATGAGGACCTCTTGGATAGGCTTCTCGTAGTCTTTGGGGTTGACGAATTCGGTGAAGCCGAATTTTTTTGCTGAAAATTTGGGGTTTTTTACTTTTTTGTCAGTCTGAAAAACACGAATTTCATAATGGAAATGTGAACCAATCAATATTCACAGGGTTGCGACGATCGGAATTCTAGATCAACTGATTTTTGTCAATTTTAATTTCAATCGTGATTTGAATCACTGTAAAAACAATTCGCCGAAGCAATTAACCCATCAGGAAATTCATGAAAGATAGTTTATTTAAAGCTTGAGTGACATTATTAAGTGAAAAAACATGGCTAATCGTCATCAGCACAACGTGAATATACATTCAATTGTAATCCATAAAGACGATCAACTAGAAATCATTAGGTTTTTTCTGTGACGAGAAAAAAGTTTGGCATTTCATCTCTGTTTGCAGGTTATAAAATGTCACTTTTCATAAATTACTTTTTTCCCGTGGGAAAAAAGTGAGTACTTTTATCCCAGATATATATCACATATATATATATACACTGTTGATGGCTTTTGTTATGCTATAGTTCCGAAAAATGAGTCAATAATACCGTCTCCGAGAAAGAACTACAAGTCCTTTTATTTTCCATTCGACTTCGCGGTTATGGTAATTTTTGGCGATTTTTTTATATTCAGTAAATAATTACACCAGTTGACGACCATTCCATAATCAAAGATATACGTGGCACGTCAAACATGCAAGAATTAATTTCCACAGTTAGTTAATCAGATTACCTACCTCAATTTATTCTGAAGATTCACATCGCTCAACTATGTTTCAACTATTAAATTGGAAAGAAGAATGAAGAATATCCTTTAAAATGATGGCGGGTGTATTTAACGTCGTTCAAACGCAATTATTAGTCTATATTTTGTGTTCTTGCACAATTGACATTTGATCTTCATTTGACATCTCGAATGTATCTGATAATTGAATGGAACTAAGATAATTGTTCAATAAATATGAAAAAAATCGCGAAGAAATCAATGAATTAGATCGTGAGATCTTAATCGTGAGTGATATAGTGTGGAATGACGAAAAGGAGAGCAAGTAGATCTAAATGCGTATCCAAGACGGGCGGAAATGGAAGATGAAATTTCGAACTTCTTCGTGAAATGTCTCGATAAATAGTGATTTGTTCACATTTCCATCATAACATTCATGTTTTTTAGACGATAACAAAGAGGAATTCCGAGGAAAAAAAAACAACGCATAATAAATGCAAAATTACGGGAATTTCTTTTGGATTTTTGTTCTACCTGTTTCGAACTTGTTCGGGTTCAAATCCACACCGATAATCCTGGTAGCGCCGGCAGCCTGACATCCCAACCCCACCGCCAATCCTACGGCCCCCAAGCCCCATACGGCACAAGAACTGCCCTTTTGCACTTTAGCGGTGTTAAGGGCTGCCCCGTAACCTGTCGGCACTCCGCAACCCAAAAGGGACACTTTGTCCAAAGGAGCAGTTGGATTGATCTTGAATAATATCAATAATGAGAAAAATTATTTGAATATTTCATTATGTTGAATGACTTTGATGTCATGAACAAAAATCGATGGTGGTGACATCTCCACTGAAACCAGAAGTCGGCCATTTTGACTACTTGGGTTTCCTGTCATGTTTGCCAACTCAAATCAGGAAAAGCTAAATTGCATAAAAATGTATTCCACAAAGCCAGATTCCTTATTTGTTACAATTGGATCAACCGGATGGCAGTTATAAACAGAACATTCTTCTCAAATATAAAGAGTCTAAGTGTTGCCTTGAACATTAACGTAAACACAAATTATTGACAGCTTCGCAAGCGCATTTTTTAATTCTTTACGTTCGCGTTGTGTTACGGGTGTACGTTATCTCATGTACTTTCACGTATACCTCAAATATCAACGTACGTTAACCAAACTATAGTCGAAATATATCGATGAGTCCAAATTATCAAATTCAGGATCCCTAAGGAGTTCTGCATCAAGGAATCCTCTCATTTCAACAGGTATAAATGTTCAGATCTGAACAAACAACCAGAAATGACCAATACAATACGAAAATAAAATGTATTATTACGACGTTACAATGACATTGGCGACCAAAGTGACGACTCCAACTCAATTCATATTCATAGACAATACGTAAACGTTATTTTTCGTAAATTAACGTCTACGTGAAGGTACGACGAAGCTGGTAACTGACATTTCCAGTAGAATCGGAAGTCGGCCATTTCAACTACTTCTGTCTCCATCATGTCTGCCAACTCAAAATAGGAAGAGCTACTTTACCTTCAAAGTGTTTTTGGGAAGAATAACATCAGGCTAGGAATCTCAATAAGGATTGAAAAATTATGTGATTTATTTGGTGATTTAGCATCTCTCAAACAAGGAAGTCGGACATTTTTCACTATTATTGTCACCTGTCAAGTGTCAACCAACTTATGTCATGTCTGTAGTCAAAAAGTAGAGAAAATTCTGAACTCTAGAAAATGAATAAGGCATAAGGCCCACATATCATTATTGGCATTCATTAAGATCTATATTCTATTAGTACTATGCCTTTTTTAGTTGTATTTCAGAATAGTCAATTGAATAGAATAGACTTTATTCATATTATCACCACAGCTGCCACCATAGGCAGATATATATGTCAAATTTTTCAAACATGCAAGGCAAGGTGGAAGGTGCAAGGTGTAACTAAGGAGTAGTATATCTCAATGATCTTAAGTTTTTTTTTCAATAGTGTAATGTGCAGAGTTGAGTTTCTTACACAAGTATTCTATGTGAAGATCTTAACTTATAAATTGGTCAGGTATGCAGACAGCAGACTAACCTTTTTTGCATCTGAAATACATGTGAACTGTTTTACCAAGGTTCAGTTTTATATGAGTTCCATTATACCACTTATGAAAAGTATCAATTGTATTTCAGAATAGTCAATTCATTTTTAGAGAATGTCAATTGATTTTTGGAAAAGGTTTAGTAGTACACACATGTATTTTTTTTTCAAATCCCACAATTTCATCAATGTTTTTGTGTACATAAAAACTTACTTTTGTTACTGATATGTCCGCAACAACAGTGTATTCACTAAATGTGGAGCACCCCATAAAATGATGTAACATTTTTCCATTACAAGAGAATCTGGAAGTGCCATCAGGCATTACACCCTGTCCCTGAGAAACCCTGATCTTTTGGCACAAATTTGTATTTGGGTTCTTGCAGAATTTGCATTCCCCACATTGGGGCACATACAAAGGAATAACATGGTCACCTAAAATAAATTAGTGCATGCACAAAAACTCATCTAGCTTGAAACTTGAGATGTACAAACCTGCTTTGACATGAGTGACACCCTCACCCACACTTTCTACAATACCAGCACCTTCATGTCCTAGAACAACAGGAAACAGTCCCTCTGGATCTTGACCACTCAGGGTGTAAGCATCCGTATGGCAAACTGCCGTGAACAGGATCTTGATACGGACTTCATTGGCTTTTGGTGGTGCAACCTCGATAGTTTCTATTTTCAGGTCCTCTTTGGGGCCCCACGCAACTGCGGCTGTACATTTGATAACCTAAAAATACATTATGTTGATAACTTTACTTTTGAATGTTTTGTACTTACTTGTCCAGCGGTACTCATGGTGATTCGATTGAAATGAACTATTATGTTACAAAGCGATAGGAATTATCACGATAACCACGATGATTATTGTGCAAATCAATGATAAATTGTTGACCTTTGACTTGGAATCGAGGAATAATTTCAATAATTCGAAAAATTACCTTGATCCTTGATTGACTTTTGAATTTTGATTGACTTGATAACGGGAGATATGGCTAGTGGTCCGACCCAGGGTTCCCTTGGAAAATCGCTTCGATCATCAAAAGGGACTGGGCGTGTTTTTCATTCCATCGAAGAAAGTGCGCACTGATAGATGCGGTTTTTTGTCGTGACGTCACCAATTGTTCTGTTGGAATTTATGCTGGAAGGATTGAACAATGGTTTATACAACACATTGATGGAAACACGGATTTTGTTGTGTGTCAGTCATCATGTATCTTGAGAATCAGAAAAGGCTAATTCGACTTTATTGATTAACACTGACTCTTTCTTCTAAAATCTCTCAAGAATCTCAAAAATCCTCAATATTAATTGTTTTCTATCAAATCAAAACAAAAAACAACACTAAAATGTGTCAACTGTCATGTCAATCTCCTCCAAACAGCTGGATTCTCGAAATGCGATTTAAAAGTGCGCATTTTATTACAACAGTTTGATGGATGTCCATCAACATTCCAGCGGAATTTTGCAACAGCTTGATGGTTTCTTCGATTCATGCGCATGATAAATTGTTGGAATGAAAAACGCACCCACTCGTTGTTCGGAGGAAAATCGGTTTATTTTCAAAATGGATTTCAGATTTCTCAGACTACGTTCAGCCTGCGACAGGTCTGACGTCTGACTGACCTAACCTAACCAGTAACCAAAGTAGTCAACAAGCGTCTACCTAGACCAGCGAATCTCTCAAACCTCAAGGTTATCATAAGGTTATTCGTGTTTATATGACTTATTAGGTAATATGAGGAATGAGAATATCTTTTCTACATGAAAAAGGAAAGAACTGCCAAACTAATTTGTGTTTTATTAACCTTATTCCTGAAAAATATATTTTTGAAAAATTATTTGAGTAAAAAAATTGAAAAAAAAATTGACGCCTCGCAGGGAATGAACCCCAGTCACCACCATGGAAGTCAGATACACAGGCCCCTAAGCTATCACTGCACTCGTAGCAGTCGTAATTTCTCAATATAAAGAAGGAACAAATATCATGTGTTCTGGGTGACGTCACTTGTCCTCGATGTTCTAAAGATTCGCTAGTCTAGCTAGACGCTTGTCAGTAGTCCGACCACAACGAGCAAAGATGCTCTGAACGAGAATCGGTCCAATGCGTGGACCAAAGAGATCAAGGTTATCAGAAATGAAATAACCTTGGTTTCCCACCATTTCCGACTGCCGGCGGATCTCTAGGCGCTCACACCAAGATCGCTAAACTAGACAGAACCACAGCTGATCCTCTCAGATAAACTCTTAGTTCCGTGTTCTGTTCAATGGAAAGGTCGTTGTCGACAATGTTGTCAGTGTCAATGTCAATACTGTCAATAAATTTGAATGAGATTCTTGTTTATGTTTTGGTTGCCGTCTTAAAAATGTCTCAAATAAGCACAAAAGAAAAACTCTTGTACATAATTGATGATATGGAATTGATAGCAAAGTAAGTCCAGAAACTTATCCACTCGTATCATTCATATTGATATAAAATTTGCAGAGAGATAATAGAAAATGCCATTGCCCCCAAAAGCTCCAAACTGAGTGGCCCAGAATACATCCAAATCACTGACCTTTTGGTATCGAAAAACAATGAACTGAAGGAAACCCTACAGTTAGCTGCCGAACAAGCTCAAATCAACAAAAAACTAGACATTTTAAAAATAGAAGTTGAGCGTCAAGACCAAGACATCAACCACTTGCAGAAGCAACTGAAAGAAGCAGAACAAATTTTATCAACAGCCATCTACCAGGCCAATCAGAAACTCCAGTCTATTGCCAAAGCAAACCGTAAGCCTGTTTCATCTGAGGAACTCATCAAATTTGCACATAGGATAAGTGCTTCAAATGCTATCTGTGCCCCACTGACCTGGCAGCAAGGGGATCCTAGAAGGCCCTACCCTACTGACATTGAAATGAGGTTAGGTTTGCTGGGTAGGCTTGGGGATCCCATGAATGGGCATTTGATGGCCCAGCAAAATAGTATATCTGACCTGCATAGGCCTGGTCAACCTGGAGGTGAGATTTATACTTGGAATATAATTCTGTTAACAAAGTGTCTGAAATTATCATTATCATAATAATTCCTCTTACCTATGAACCTAATTTTCCCTGGGTATAATTATGTCCCTGTGTTAATTTATTTTTGTAATTTTATGTCCTTTGTTATGTTCCTATGATTAATTTTCTCCACTTGTAGAAGATATTGGGAAGGCAATTTAATTTCTTCATATTGCTCTGTGTTATTTTTTTTTCAGCTCTCATTAACAAACAATTTTTCTTCTTTCCTGAGTTTTTTTCTCATATTAGGTATGTATCTGTGCAAAATGTTATCAACTTGTGGAAGAGTTTTGAGGGTACCAGTTCCTTATATGTTCCTATGTTGACTGTTAATTTAAATGTAGCAGAATGGAAATATTTGCTTAATTTGGCAAACATATTGGTACCTCTTTTGTTATATTCTTTCTCATATCAAAACAATTTTTGCCAGTTCATGTCATAACTATTTTCTATGGGTATTATGTCCCTGTGATGAATTATCTCAACTTGTGGAAGATATTAGAAAATCCCTCCTGTGTGAATTTAGTTCCATTAATTGAAGCATTAGTGGTATTATAAGTGAGAAAACTACATTACTCTATGTTTCCTATGTTTAATGGAGCAAAATGGAAACATTTTTGTTCACAGTGGCGTGCATACAACAAAAGCATAAAAGCATTGCCTACCCCGGAAAAATTCAAATGATCCATACACAGTTTTTCACACAATTTTCTTCTGATATATATAATTTTTATAAAAATATATCAACTATATGTCTGAGTACTCTCACAACTCATGATAATACAATACAATCTGTAAAATTAATATAAACCACCCGCTCATCGCTCATCCCATTAAAAATTGCACTGATCAATAGAAATTCATATGGAACAAAAAAGCATTGGTTCCCACCTGAAAGCCATCCACAGTCGAGCCGTGACGACGCAAACGGTCAATTACAGTGTTGCCAGGTGTGGCGATTTATCATAGTTACTTTTTTTTGGTGAAATGCGACATTAAATTGAATTTTCTACTGGCGACAATTCTGGCGATATTCTGAAATTTACAAGAGATTTATTGACGACATGTGATGATGTAACAATCATTAGTAACATTCTCAATCAAGTTTTGTGAATAGGCAACATGTAGGGATTTACTAAGGAAACGAAACGGCTCAATGTCGGATCACCTCCATTTTTGTTTTCTGCATTTCACATTTTTTTTATTTTTGCCTGCACTAACATGAGTAGCATTGCACGCCACTGTTTCTTCAATAGATTTGACAGCAGAGTAGTACAAGAACTGTCCAGAGATCAATGAATATGAAAAAAGTTATTTTCTCTAATTCTTAGATAATTTTGGGAGATTCTTTGTAGCATTTCTTGCAGTGTGTAATTTGTGACGGTATTTTTCTTGACCCATTTTTTTGTGGTTGTTTTCTGAAATAACGGCTGCTTAGCAAAACCAATTTTGCTTGCCATTCATTAGGCGGTACTTTTTCATTGTATTCTTTGGAGTACCTACTTTTTTGTGGTACTTTTCTTGTTTGTGTTTCTGCTGCATTTTTCGTGGTTCCGGATGCTCAGGAAAACCAATTTGCTTGGCATCACTCAGGATTTACTTTTTCGGTGTTTTCATTGAAATACTTCCGTGTAGTACTTTCTGCAGTACTTTTTTGTTGTACTTTTTTGCAGTTTTCTTGTTATTTTCTGTATTTTTTCGTGGTTGTTTTCAGAAATTCCAGATGTTCAGCAAAACCAAATTGCTTGGCAGCCATCAGGAGTTACTTTTTCATATTTTTCTTTGAAGGACTTTCGAGTAGTACCGTCGAATGAGGTGGCTTCGGACGGTACCGGTGATTTCGGACAGTCGGTACTTTTCGCTCTCAATCGTGAATGTCGCGAAAGGAGGTACCGCGATAGACGTGAATCTTCTGCAGGTTGAATCTTGTTAGTATAGGTCCGGTGGTCGAGAGTGTAGTTTGCGTAGAGAGGTAAGGAAGAATTGTTCACGTCGGTATTTATATGAGCGTATTTTTATTGCGAATTCTCAAAAGTGAAAAAGTAACTGCTGTAGCACTTTTTGTGTTGAATGTAGAGCTCAGTGGCATATGTTTAATCAAAGGGTGATGTTCAAAGAATGCTTTGATGATGTATCTGTTTGAAAATTTCATAGAATTTTTATATACAGGGCGATAACCAGAACATCAGCATTATTGCGGAAGACTTCGGACATGGGCCGGACCTATAGAAAAATCCTTGGCGGACGTTCGTACCAATCGTACCAATGAATCGTCAGAAGAGGACACTAACGAGAGAGTAGAAACTATTTCTACTAAGACTGATTTAGAAAATTTGAAGAAAAATGATTTCCTACTTTGTTGATTATTTTTTAGGCAGAATGCTATTTTATTTTTGTAAGAATGTTACTATTTATTTTGATCTTAAAGAATCTTTTTCAAATAAAAAATATTTTTCTCATGTTGTGTCCGAATTATTTTTGTTGAGACGAGAAATAAATTCCCTATCGTCAACAATGCGCGTCCGAAGTCAATTTCCTAAGATAAAATAAATTCGGACAAAAAATTGAATTTTTGATGTTCCACTTTTTTAAAAATTCGAATTCATGTCCGAAGTTGAGTCTGATGAAGCTGGATGTCGTTTTCATGCGCTTTTGAAGGGGTGTCCGAATTCACCACACCTATCCAGGTAACTTCGGACACTTTTCAAAATAAAAAAAAAAATATTCCTAAAAATGAAAACAAAAGTTCTATACCACGAATCGATTCATTTATGTGAGTGCTACATTTCGTGAAAATTTCGTGTCAAAACATTGATTTTTCAAAAAGTTACAGCGAAAAAACTGTAAAAATCGTCCGAAGCCACCTCATTCGACGGTACTTTTTGCAGTACTTTTTTGTTGTATTTCTTAGCAGCACTTTTTTGCAGTACATTTTTTGTTATTTTTTTGTATGATTCGTGGTTGTTTTCAGAAATTCCGGATGCTGAGCAAACCAATTTGAATGTAGTGCTTTTTGCAGTACTTTCATGTTGTACTTTGCTTGCTCTTTTCTTGTTATTCTCTGTATTTTTTGCGCTTGTTTTCAGAAATTCCGGCTGCTCAGCAAAATCAATTCGCGTGGCATCCCTCGGGTGAAATGCACATCAGTGTGGGACAGGGCACTGTCCCAATGGACACTAGAAATCACAAGCAAGAAAATGAGGACGTTGAGGTTATGTCTACTGATTCTAGCAGCAGCTCGTCCAGTGATTCCCAATAGATCTGTTTAGTTTTTAGGTGTACTTTATAATGAATAAAGAAAATTATGAACAATCAAAGTTTATTTATTTCTCACGAGGTTCTATGCATGAAGATGGTGTATAGAGATTTTCTTCCCTGCGCTCCAATGGATAACATAATACTTGATCAAAAATGACGAAAGCTGCAGATGCGGAATTCATGGAAATACAAAAGTACCACAAAACGTTGTACAAAACATGTTAACTTTCTTATCATTAATCATACCTATAAGCGTTGTTCAAGTAAACCTGTTCATTATTAGTTTTTTTTCTTCTATCCTGACCAGGATCTTCGGGATGAGCAATTGCGTTTTTTTCTCGAATAATTATGGTGAATGATTTTCCGCCACCAAAATTGCAAATGTTCCGTCACCAGAATTCCAAATTTACGTTTTTATTCCTTCCAATAACTATTAACATTGATTTTATCCAGAAACACGGCAGTGTCTTGATGCATCAAGTACTCCCAGTGTTGCTGAAGATGAAATGTCGCTAAAAGTTAGTAAACAAAACCGCTAGAAGTCGCCAAAGCGATCAGGAAGCCCGCCGCGAAATTTTTGAAAATTTAGCGACTTTTTTTCGTGATTTAGCGACATTTTTGATCATATTTTATCATTTTCAGTTAGTTTATATCATCAGATAAAATCGTAGAAAACTTTATTTATTCATATTCTGTTCAGAATGAAAAAATAACAAAACAAAATGAATAAAGGTGAATTTTCCTATACAATTTCATTCGGTACTATTAGGTAGGCACATTGGTAAATCACAACATACATTATTTTTCGATCGTATCTATAGGTTTGTCCTTGATCTTATCACACGTTCATAAACCTGTCAAACCATAACCATGTATCAACTCATATTTCTAGTTCAACATCATACAGATCTGCGACTTCATCGCACATAAAATATTCGTTCACAAGCATCACAAGTTTTTAAACCATATCGAATATGATGAAAACTGACCCTGTCGTCTGTCATTCTCTTCTCTGCTTATCTCTTTGTCTCAAATGTTTCAATGTGCATTGTTCATATATGTCGTCAACAATTTATGTGATCAAAATATCTCCATATAAACCGCTATGACTATGTCGAAAACGCTAGAATTGCGACACGTCGCAAATCAGGTTGAAATGTAAGGCAATAACCCTGAGTACTCCTATTAGAGGTAGCGATAGTGGACAAAAATCGGCTATCGAAACTATCGATAGCGGACATGTCGACTATCGAAACTATCGATAAAAAATCGATAGTTTACCGTTATAAAAAAGCTGAACTAATTCGATGAATTCTTTTCAATGGTCACGGAGGTTACTATAGTATTGCCACTTGTTTTATACTCCTTTTGGCATATATAACAGGCTATACCAGCAGCAGATGCTTATTCTTCCCGAACAAAGTGTTCCCATGCATATAAAGGAAAACGATTTGGGTGCTAACTGGGAAGTGGGAATCCATTCTGAAGAGGAAAGAGATAAAACTAGAACAAGGAAACAAAGTAAAACCATAGAACATTGCCAATAAACATACTCTTCTTCTTATCATTTTCTTCTTCACTCTTATTGATTAGTAGAAAAATTTCTGCTACTAATTTATTTTCTCGATTGTTTACTTTTCTTGCTTCTTCCTATGTTAATTTCACGCCGACAAGGCCAGGCCACGGACAATGATGGAAACGAGCGAGCACAAAAACATCTCAGCGATGTTAAAAGTACGAGATTTCGAGACATTGAACCTCCACTGCGATGTTCTGTTCACACATGAATAGAACTATTATAGAACAGCCAATGTCCGCCGCAGGCGGCAATTATCGAGATGACCTTGATATGTCACAAAACTACCTTCTCCCTAGTTCTTTTCAAAGCCTTTTCATGGACACAACAAAACATTTTCAACGCGTCTTGCGCACATTAAATCGATGTAAAAAAACCATTTTCGAGGTACTTTTCTGAAGCCTTTTGTCAAAATGAACTTTTTCATTAGGATTCCATTTCCCTTGAATGAAAAAATACATTAAAAATAGATTGAACATAAAAATATTTTCTTGATATGAAATTACCTTCTCAATCGGTTTCTGAGTAGTGCTTACTACACACAGACATATAATTGGAAATAGGTTTCCCAATTTTTGAAATGTTCTCCACAATGCATAATTTTGCAACTGCGGAGAAGCTGTGTATTGATAAATTCGTACTTTTATATATTGATTACACTACATTACATTACATGAAAACAATACTTTCAATATCCTTCTAAGACCTCTTTGGGAAGTGCATATTACGCCTCAAAAAACATCCTCATGCCTACATTTCTAAAACATCCCAAAACATCCCAGGGATACCTCTCAGTAGGCAAACAAAGAAATGCCACAGAAGAACAAAAACAACACTTCAATATCCTTCGAAGACCTCTTTGGTCAGTGCATACTACGTCTCAAAATAACATCTTCATGACAACATTTTCAAAACATCCCAAAACATCCCAGGGATGTTTGTGCTCGCTGGGAGTAGATGGTGTACTTACTGTTGCGCTTTTGTTTCAGAAGTTCTTCTCGACCACGATACCTCCCGAGTGTCCCGAGAACAATGTTTTCAACGGTTTTCAGATAGATGGCGACATTGCACAATTATGACATCTGTCAATTTTTAAATTGCTGCAGATTTTTCGAATTGAGAGTTAAATAAACTCACTGTTACATATGTTCCGCGACCGCGTACATAAAATGCTATTTGCCATTTTATTTCCACTCGTCACAGAAGCATTAGCAGCATCACCATCTAGCGGAAAAATGGAAAAATGTAGAATCAACGTCTCGCTCGATATGAGACGTAGAGAAATCATAGTAAGCGGTCGAGTGATTTTTCTTAAGTTTTCAATACGTAAAAATTGCCGAATACGCGCACCATCTATACTTAATTCCATCATTTCATGGACTATCGCAGTGTAACTATCGAAACTATCGATTTTTCTATAGTTTTAGAGCTATCGACACTATTGATAAACTATCGATAACATCGCTACCTGCCGCTAACTCTTGAAACTTCGCACACTTATCAAGGACCGATGAGAAAAGCATCATTTACTCGATTTGTTCCATTATCCTGATGAGGATCTTGAGTATAAGCAATTTTTACATCGTATGGTATGAAATATGAATATGGTTGCATCCAGAGAGACGGTAGTGTGCGGTAGTGTCTTGCACCAAGTACTCGTATGAAGTTAAGTTTCCGGAGAGGGATCCTGACTCCTGAGGAACAGTTACAACATTCAAGGAAGACAAGAGGCGCGCAAATTATCCACATTCGGTTCGGGGCGGTATAGTTACAAAGAATAAAAATAGTTATTTATGCAACAAGTGCAAAAAGTGAATGTTTATTGCACTCGACGTGAAATTGTCCGACGAGGCCGTGAGGCCGAGTTGGACAACACGTCGAGTGCAATAAACAATTTTTGCACGAGTAACATACAACATGTTTTCTACGTTCATGCAAAAAGCAAAAAATGATTTATTGAGGTGCGGCACTAGGTACAATTCTGTTAATTGTCAGAATTAATTTTTGACTGACGTTTCTATAACCAAGTTGCAATATAAAAAATGTTTGTCATGATGACAACACGTTGAAGTAGAATGACAGATGAGTGCAATAAAAACTTTATTGCACTAAGTGCAATAAAGAACTTCTTTTTCCACTAAATATAGTTCAATAAAGTTCTGCTTTTTGCATGAATGTAGAAAAAAAAAACTTAGAAACACGCTTTTGTAGTTAGCCGAACGAAAAAATAGAGAATAAATAGTAGATCAGAAATAAAAAAAATCCACGGTTTTATTGATAGTCAAATAAAAGGGTGTTGATAAATACACAACATAGAAAATATTAGCACCTCCGTGATCAGTACCTATATATTTTGTGCACTTGATATGTACCTATTTATCAACACATATTTTTTTGTCTTCTACTTTTATTAGTTTGGCTATCTATAAGAGCGTGTTTTTTTTTTGTTTTCAAACTACTATTTTTTCACTCGTTTTTTCAATTAAGTACAAATACAAATTTTAGCATGTTTCAAACTCTGAAATCACCCTCTATATATTGATGATAGTGAATGAGTCTCAAGTGAATTTGAGTTTCTGAGGAGCACATAATCGTGAACATAATCTTGATGTGAAAAATTTAAGAAAAGAAACATCAAACATCAAACTCCATGATCCAATATGAGAAGACCAGAAGAGAAATGTTTGGACGGAATGGAATCACTCGGATCACAAATTCAATTCAAGTTTGCAAAATCGTGTGCAATTCATCGCCCTGTGAAATATTGGTTTGTCCTTTTCATTCTTTTTCGAAATTTGTAAACCGAATTGAAATCGGATTTTTTTTATAATCTTACGAATTTGACAGGAATTCCCGGTGCTGGAATGATTTTTACAAATTTCATTTTTCTTTGTAGAATAGAAAATTAATGAAGGTATGTAATACATGTTTCTACAACATCCTTATGGTCTATTGCAATAAAAGTAAAGTGAAAGCATTCGAATTTGTTGGAAACATTACAATGGCAATCTGTAAATGAAAGACTGGCAACTTTTGCATTGATTTTTATTTTCAAATTATTGAAGGTTTTATTGCCGGATTATCTAGATCAGTTTGTTATTTTTAGTGCAGAAATTCATGTTTACCAAACGAGATCTCGTAATGATTTTCATCTAAGCAGAATGCTTACCAATAGGGGTATGAATGAACTCAATGTTTTATAAAGGACTGAAAGAATATAATTCTCTCCCTCAAAGCATAAACGAATGTGAGACTGTTAGAATTAGAAACTTTAAAACATGTATTAAGGAGTACCTGAGACTTGCTATGATAAAAGAAGAAAAAGTTATAATATTTTTTTTTCTATATTATTTGATCAAGAACCTGTTAGTGTTATGCTATTGGAATTGTTAATATTGGGATGTATCGTCTATATATTGAATAAATTCTTCTTCTCCTTATAATATTAGAATGGTCAAAGATCAATCGAAAAGAAACATGTTTCGAGCTCATATAAGCCCATCATCA